AGAGACTTCTGCGTCACCCCCCAGAAGAGACTTCCGCGACACTTCCAGAAGTGACTTCTGCGTCACCCCCCAGAAGAGACTTCTGCGACACTTCCAGAAGTGTCTTCCGCGACACTTCTAGAAGTGACTTCCGCGACACTTCCAGAAGATACCCAGAAGAATATTCCCAATTGGAAAAAAATAATAGAAAATATTTGTACTACATTTATTAAAAATTTAATTTTTTTTAAATATAATAACTTATACATATGTTAATATATTTTTTTTAATATAATTTTGTATATTTTCGACGCTTGTACACCCGATGAACTGTTGATGGAAGATTTTTTGATTTTTCAGCTCTGAATAATCCAGAAATTTAACAAATGTAAACTCTAAAAAAAAAAAACAAATAATATTATAAAAATGAAAACCATATTTAGAAACTGATGTGCATTACCTTTATATAAAAAATAGTTGATCTTAACATGTGCTGCATTTTTTCCGGCATTGTACGCGTTGTTAGACGCAATAATATCTTTAAACACTAAACAATTTTCAGACTTGAACTGGCAAGACAGCAGTCTAGAAACTAAATGACGCCTTGCAGCAAAATCTGTACGCGGGTCAAAAGAAAATACACAAAAATGTTCAGTAAAACCAGAATATCGGTAAATTTTTGGGACCTTTGCTTTACTATCTTCCTATCAACTTCCAGAAGTGAATTGGGAGATAGTTTTTTTTGTATATTTGTTGTTGTAAAATGTGTGCTATCGTCTTTCTATCTTCCAGAAGTGACTCAGAAGTGTCTTCTTCGGGATAGATGAGTATTTTGTTTTTGTAAAATGTGTTCTATCGTCTTTCTATCTTCCACTCTAACTCTTCTTTTTTTTCCAAAAATTTCTATCGTCTTTCTATCATCCAGAAGTGTCTAAGAAGTGACTTCTAGGCGATAGATGTGTATTTTGTTTTTGTAAAATGTGTTCTATCGTCTTTCTATCTTCCAGAAGTGACTAAGAAGTGTCTTCTAGACGATAGGGGATAAATTTATCTTCCAAAGGCTTGCAGGGATGAAATCGACAAAACGGTCTTGGAGCAACCAGAACAAAACCGAATAGAAAAAAACGGTTTCGGTCTGAGCCCAACCGAACCCATTCACGAACCCATAAATCGGTCGTTCTCTGAGACTTTTCGTAAAGACTCAGGAGAAGACTGTTATTAGCAGACAACGAGAAACAGTAGACTCTTATTTGCGAGCTCTGATCTAGATCCATCTTTAAGACAACATTTTGAAAAAGGATTGCATTCAGTATATCAGTTTGAGACCGGAATTATAGCAACAACCAAGGTATCGCGCTGGAAATTTACGTCTGCGGGTTCCATATTGGGTAGATTGCGCCAGCTGGATATGTGCTCCAGAAAATGGGAACTTTCTTATCACACCACTCCTTGAGGCGACTCATGGCCTTGGGATAGACACAACACTCGGGCGGTGGCGATCAAGCAGCTGAGTTAATAGTGTAACTTCTCGACTGGGCTTATTGAGGTATAATCGTCTACCAAATGCGTTAATGCGGATATCGATGTATTTGCAATCGACCTTAGGTAATTTTAATAATGGCAATACAGCTCAGAAAACTTGTTCCCTCCATTATCTCTCTTATCAATTTGAAAATGCTAGTAAGAATCGCTGCCTTGCTCATAATGAAAAACTCATCGAGGGCCTCCCTATCCTTGTTTCCTGGGTCTGCTCAATGTTGGCTTGGATTTAAGACGCTTGCTTGAAATGTCCGTCTAGCACTTGCTTTCGACAATCAAACTCTGCGGCACTCATTACATGATCGGCTTCCACTTTTTTTTTTTTTATCGAATTCTTAATGGCCTCAAATGTACTGGCTTTTTCTTGTAAATGAGTTGTTAAAACGCTCTTCAGATCTTAATCTATGGTTGACCCTTCCGGACCCCCCCCCTGCGTCCGCCCCTGCCAACCGGCGTGCAACTTTGCCAATAAACAATTAAACTTCTGCATCTTGCCAAGATCAATTGCTAGTTTCAACAGCAGTTAATAAGTTCTTTAATCATAATGCTCACAATGCGTTCAACTTGCCCTTTTGCTCTAGCTGCACCTGTCGCAATCAAATGCAAGTTAATTTTTTGTTGTGAGCAAAACTCACTGAATCTAGTGCTGCGATTTTCACCCCCAAACAGAAAAATAGCAGACGAGATAGCATTTATGCAATTGTCAGCATCAATTTTAAACGTTTGGGTTAAATGAAGAAATTTATTAAAGGCATCCACCCGAACAATGATATACTGTTTCTGATCAGACTTGCCACTCAACTTTCCAGTTATGTCGATGTGAATGGTGTGCCAAGGTGTATTTTCTTTTGGATGAAGACTTACTCAAACTTTACCCGTAGAAGACTTTGACATTTTAGACGTAATTCTTGGACATGTTATCGAACCATGATGGACTCATGGACCTGATTTATTGTGGACCATCTAAATGGTAAACAATTGGTAATAATTGGTAAAGTTCGAGATCTACCATTTCGCTGAAGTTTTCGATATAATATTCCTGTTCTCATCTCGAAAGGTTTTACAATGTCCTCAGCAAGAGAATTTTGTTTCAATTTATTTACAATATTAACTATTTTAGAGTCCTGACGCTGTTCGGCCAAAAGCCAATTGTCAAATATTTCTGCCAAATTTATTTTTTTTTCTGGAATTTTGCAAGTCAACTCTGCTGAAGCCAGACTTCTTGAAAAGAATTTCTTGAAAACCTTACCTTCTTTATATTGTATGTTAAATGTAAAAGTCTGTAAATACCCCCACCATTTATGTATCTACCCTGGGACACAGATCCTGTTTAGTTCTTGATGCTTTAAGTGAGTTACCATCAATGAAGACAACTAAATTTCTTCCCAATAAATAATGGCGAAAGTTTTTTATAGACAAAACAATAGCTAGAGTTTCTAATTCATAAGAATGATACCGTGATTCAGCAGGAGAAGCAGCCTTACTAAAATAATTAATGACATGAGACTTGTTGTTGGTTTTGTGTAACAAGGTGGCTCCGTATCCCCGAGAACTTGCATCGGTATGCAACTCAATGTGATGGTTCGGATCAAAAATTACAACGACTGGCTGGATAGAAATAACTTTTTCTCTATTTTTTCATGTTCCGATCTCCAAACATAATCAATCTTTTCCGAAGTTAAAAGATGTAACGGTTTCATAAAACAGGAGAATCCGTGCATAAGCTGCCTAAAATAAGACTCTAATCCAATAAATTGGCGTAAAGCAGAGACTGACTGAGGAGGTGGCAAGGTAGTTAACGCTGTAACTTTAGGCGAATTCAGGCGGATTTTACCTGCACTCACTTTTTATTTTTCTTGAACTGTTGACTTGAGAGAATATTTTTTTATATTGAGTGAGATTCCAGTATTCGGGAGACAATCAAGAGTAATTTGCAACCATTCCAAAGCCACACTTTTTGTTGATTACGTCATAGATATAAACGACAACAAACGTGTTTGCAAGGACTCCAAGTGTTGCATGACTGTGCGTTGAAATATTGAAGGTGCATTCCTGAGCCTAAAAGACAGCCAAAAATTCATATTGCCCGTCTGTAGTGACAAATGCTGTAAACTCTACCGATTCTTTGTGCATGGGATTTGATAACACCCACTTGCCATGTCTAAACATGAAAAATATTTCGCTCTATAAAGTCTGTCTATCTGGTCTGATATAAGAGGCAAGTGATATCTATCTGCGACTGTGTTAGAATATAATTCACGGTAATCAACACACAAACGATGAGTGCCGTCTTTTTGTCAACCAACATTATAGGACTTGAGTAAGGTGAGCAACTTGGCCTTATAATTTTACATTGTAATACGGTCGAATCCCGATAATTTGTACCCCGCTAAATCGAAAATCGCGATAATTCGAAAATTCTGTCCCCTTGAAAAAAACTCGTTAATTCGTAAAAATTCCATACATTTTGGTCCCCTCGTTAATTCGTAGTATTTGGTGCAACGCAAAGAATATTGAGCCTCTTATAAATCGTAATTTTGTTTCGTTACCTCTTATAAATCGTAGTGCGATGCGAAATTTTTTGTAGTTAAAGCACCGTTAGATTTTGCAGACAGCTATGCCGCCTTTATGTCGCTATGCATTATGAATTTTATGTTTCTCTCGCTGTTATAATTTTGTTATTGTTTAATTTTCCTTTAATTAGAAAAAATGTACGTAAAAAATGTTCATATGTACGATGAATGTACATACTTATGTTTGTTTAATTTTAATAAAGTTAAATACATACATACATATGTAAACATGATGTGAAATGTAAAAACTTCGTTTATTCGACTCTTTCATTTTTGAGCCCCGTTAAATAGAAATTTCGATAAATCGAATCCCGTCTAATTCGTAAAAAAAAAGTGATCCCCTTGCCATTTCGAATTATCGGGACTCTACTGTAATTCATTAATCTTGTCTCTCCAATTCTCTTTCGTTTGGGCTATGCCTATATGGTCTTCTCTGGAAGATTTTTCTTAAATCTACTAATTTAATTTTTAGTTCACCCGAACTAATTCTAGTCGAAGGAATTCAATTAATAAAAGATTTTGAATATTTTTCCAATAAATCTTGTAATTTATCTTTATCTTCCCCAACAAAAATTTACATTCTTTTACTCCACCCGGGAGCTTAGAGCCTCCACAATTTCTTGTAGAGGATTCATTATCATTGATTTTCGATCGTACCGGTGATAAGCCAGTAGCGGTCAGTATTTAATTCAAAAAATTGCCATCATTTGAACAATAGTTTACAGTTTTTGATCTAATAATTTCGAATTTTCTTCTCTGCATTGAGGAAATTAAGTTTAAATTAATACTAATCACAAAGGCAAGGCACATACTTGATCTTTTGGCAAAATTTTCAAATTATATACACTTCTTTGGAACACACCAAAGAAAAAACTGCGTACGTTTGGAAAATTAATGATCCGGTAACCATTTTAGCTATACTTTTTTTTAATAAAAACACTTATGTAAGTACAAGCATTTCTTTAACTTAGAAGTCACTTCTTTGTTTATCGTAATTCTTTTTATCCAGAATTTCAGAAATCTGCAGAGCCAACTCGGTAAACAGGCTTGAGTACTCGCTGTCGGGATACTTTATAACAACAGGCACACCACTCTCGCAACACTCAGCTATGTGTGAGTCAAGCGGAAGGGAAATTAGCTTACGGGGGAGGGATTTCATTAAGTTGTCTTTAAAAAACTGCATTGGTTGATTGCAATTTTTGCAAATCGCGTATTTCATGTTCTCCACTAGACCGAAGATAGGAACATTTAACTTTTCGTACATCCTTGCACCCTTCACTGTAACTTGAACGGCAGCAGCATGAGGAGTTGTTACCAAGATGACACCTGTAATATATGCCTGCTGAGTTAGCGACAGATGAACATCTCCGGTTCCCGGTGGAGTATCTATAACCAGGACATCTAACTGACCCCATTCGACACCTTGTAGGAGCCGTTGAATTGCTGACATGACAAGAGGTCCGCGCCAGATAACTGAGCTTTCAGGAGGTGTGAGCATGCCCATGGACAAACACTTAACATTGTAATTTTGCGGGGGAATCATAAAATTCCGATCGTTGACAGCCGGCTCATTATGTACATTCATTAGAAGGGGAACAGTCGGCCCGAATATATCTCCGTCCAACAGACCCACACGCTTTCCCAGTCTGGCCATGCTGCAGGCAAAATTAGCTGGAAAAAACGTATATAGCATCATATCGACTAAGAATGAGTCTCCCACCTGCGACGGTGCTTTTGCCAACACCCCCTTTTCCAGAGGCAATAACTATAATGTCCTGCACACCAATAATATGTTTTTTTTTAGGCAATCCCCGAGCCATTAGCGCAGCCTGGTGCCCACTCAATTTTGAGTAGAAGCGCTTTACACTGCCTGTCAGCTGACGTAGCATGGCTCAATCGGATGAAATTACCTTACTATTTTCATTTCTCAAATTACTCATTTGGTACTTAGATAATCAATTTGTGATTTAAGATTTGTAAAATACGAAATGCATAAAATACACTAGGGTAAGTAAATGAATTGAATATGAGTTAAGGTAACGACGCAAAGCAAGCTAAAATGAAGAGACAAATGAAAAAGAAGACAGGTGTTTGAATTATAGGCCCGTTTACACTGACGCTGAGCTTCTACAATAATTTCTTTTGTAGTTGTTGGCAAGCTAACCCTGCAATTCTGGCTGTCCACAGGTGACTCGTGGCATTCAAGCAATCATATGAGTAGGAAAGGAAAAGGGATATTCCTAAGTTTCCCTCTCTTTTTTTCACTCTTATATATTATATTTCGTTGCTTGCATCCGATATACGGCCGCAAATGGTCGAAAATTGGACGTCCAGATTGGACTACATACGAGCCAGCCGTGGCGGTCATACGCCAGAAATCATATGTAAAATGTAATGCCCCAAGATTATCTCTCGAATAAAAAAATGCATGTCAATCGAATAATCCATCGTTGTTTTATTGCAACTTAAAGTTCTATACCTCTAAAAAAAAACACCTGTTACATACAATATTATTTCAATTATTGAACCAAGGTAACCACAACACAACATTGTTTACAAATATAGATATAATATAACTCGCGTGCCATTTATAGTCGGTTATAACTCAAAAAAGAAGGGTATACTAAAAAAAAATGGGAGCAAAGGATGAAAAATGAAATTGACCTGCGTCATTCTTTTGCGTAGTGCGTTGACGATTGGTTGTGAAATTACTTAATTTGTACAACGAGCAGCGGAGAGTGTTTAAAAATCAAGTAAGTGTCGTTAAGATTATAAAAATAGTATGTTTTTTATTTGGTGTTTTGCCGGCTCAAGGTCTGGGTGATATTAAAAAGCACAATTTATGTTTTTTAAACCCATATATTTCGGCTGCTCCTCGGCAACCGTCTTCAGGGCAACTAAACAAAATCAAAAAACAATCAACATCACAATACAATTTTTTACAATTTAAATATTAACATACATTTTTTTAACTAAAAACTTATTTAAATCATTTTAAATCTTTTCAAGATTCAGCCATATGTCCGATATATTCGTTTGAAAGATAAGTTTGCTTTTAATTCAAAAAAGTCATATATAATATGTAATAATAAAAATATTTTTTATACCATTTCAAGGGAGACGGACGCAAAACATACGCTGCCCTGCCAATATTCGTCAGAAGCCATTTTAAGTTGTAACCACACTTAAATGGTAAACAAAAACTTTCGAATTTAATTTTATTTATTAACTTATCTCTTATATTATAAAATAAAAAATTTTAATAAAATAAAAAAGAAATAAATATGTATATATTGTTTTTCATATGAATTTGGGGATGACATTTTTAAAAAATCCATTGGTGATTTCATAAAGTCCATCGATGAAAAAATCTTCCCCACGGTGACGTGAACGAAATCATCAACGGCTTATACGAATTTTCTCCATACAAAATTCTTATAAGCCACCAATGACTCGTTCGATGACACGGAAAAAATTGTCATCCAAAGAGTCATGCATACCGAAAACGGCAGTCCCATATAAAATGTCTCTATTAAAAAAGTCGTCGGTTAGTCACCAGTACCTAAATCCGCTGTCACCGATGGGTCGTCCATTTCATCAACGACAAAGCACTTTTGGAACTGCAGGGAAGTTAAATGTGAAACTGCATTTTTCGCTCTCTTCAAGTGAACGGTCGTGTTTTTTTGTGCGCTCCGAATTTTTCATTTTTAGAATGTTGTGAGAAGTGCATGCATATCAACTGACCCGCTCTCCCGCTTTTCTCTTTTGTACTAACAAATTCGAAGGTTCTAAGCGTGCAATTTATATTTATATATATCTTGCGGTACATTTGAGTTGCTCGCTTACAAATTTCGATTTTATTTTCTCTCGGCACAGTAGTCCGTAACATAATAAACATGGACTCCTAAATTGTCTGCTTTAAAAAAAAACCTGCCTTCAGGTAATTAAGCCCGAGCAGGCTAAACTCACTTGTTGGCTTTGTGACAAGATGGTGCACACTAAGTGCGCTGGATTCACAGGGCGGAGAAGTGATGACATTTATAAAGGCCTTGCTTTGCAGTTCTGCTGTGATGAAGTCGTTCATGCGCCAAACTAAAGGTGTCCTAAAGGGACTGATTGCTAGTTTTGGAATTGCTAGTGATAGTTTTGCCAGGGCCAGTGATCTACTCTCACCGCTGGACTCGCAATTTAATAGCCTTAAGCTATTAAAGGAGTCCCCGAAGCGCAAAAAGGCTGCTGGTGGTAGGCCTGAGGGAATCGTCCCGCAACTTCAAAGCGACCAGCAGAACTCCTCTGCGGACGAGCAGCCGACATTAGCAACCTCTCAAATGTTGCTAAGATCGGCAGCTAAAAAAGGTTCGAACCCCGATCAATCCACAGTGGAGTGTATGAGACCAACGCCTATAAAAAGTTTAGATTTGTCTGAAGGTGGTTCTCAACCTGTAATTCCACCTAATCCGCTAAATATTCCCCCAAAAGAGGTTTCTGAGACCGGACTACCGGCCCAAATTGACACTGCAGGTCCACAGCCTGCAGTAGCAAAACCCGTCATTGTGATTTCACAAACGAAACAAATATTTGTTTCTCGGCTACACCTTGATCTCACATCATTTGATGTTTCGTCTTATATTAAAGACAAAATAAATGCCGATAAAGTGAAGGTGGAAAAATGTAACTTCTCATATGCTAGGAACATCTCATCTTTCAAGATAAGTGTTCCTGACGAACTTTTTAACACCATATGCTCGAGCGATTTTCGGCCCGCTAAAATGGTGGTTTAGGAGTTCGTAGCAAAAATAAAAAAGAAAGGACCTATGGAAATAAAACTCCCCGGCCGGGACCAACAAACTGCGCCGTCCTTAGCTCCTTCCCCAAAAAACTAACCACTAACATTCTAATTAGCTATCAGAATACAAGAGGGTTGCGTAGCAAGCTAACCAAATTGTATACTGATAGCTTTTCCTTTGCATCCCAAGTTATTGTTTTTACAGAAACCTGGTTAAAGCTGGAGATCTTTAGCTCCGAAGTTTTTCCCGGTAAGTACACAATATATAGGCATGACCGTCCCTCTAGACGGGGAGGGGGCGTCCTTATTGCAGTGAACGCTAACCTCACGTCAGAAGAGGTTTTGACAGAAGATCCTTTGAACTTTGAGTTAGAATTTTTATGCGTAAAACTGTCTGTCGCTGGCAGATTAATTTTTATTACCTTCTCTTACATACCTCCTTCGTTTGTGTTGGCTGAAGCCAGTTTGTTTTTGTTGTTTATTTTGAATTGTTAAATAAGTATTATTGAATTGAATTTGAAGTCTAGTATAAGTTAGCTTAGGGCGAAGGCGGGAGCGCAATAAAGCTTTCGTTCGCTCTCTGCGAGTTCGCTCCGTCTTCGCCAACCTTCGGTAAGCTAGGCTTAAGAATAATGTGGAGAATAGATCATTCGTTGAAATTGAGTTTGATCGAGCGCACGCATTTCTTTTTCGTTTTCGTCGTTTTGCCAAAATAAATTTATTAATTAGCCACCCAAGTTTCGGTTTTTAATAATTAGAAAAACGCTTCTAATTTTTCATGGCGCCCCCGGGTGGACTAATTAATTAAATAAAAGGCAACAAATTTTTTTAAAAGTGACAGTGACACAAATAACATAAAAGTGCAAGTGATTTTTTCTTGTGTTTTTTTTGTTATACAAAAAGTTGCACAAAAATCCAAAACTCTTGTGAATTACAAGTTGCCCGCGACGTGTGGTGTTTTTTGTTAAAATTATTAAAAAACAATAGCAAGCAATTCACTCGTGCCGGTCGCGAAATTTAATACTTTAATTCGACGTTACTGCCACCGACGAGGGATGCCCTGCGATTGTTCGAGTTGCAAAAGGAAAGTGGCAGCTGGATTGAAAGATCCAAACGAAGAACCAAAGGTATTTGTGCAAAAAATTGAAAGCTGAGTTTTGACAAAAAAAAACTAGAAATATTTGTTAATTGTCTAGTGCTGAAAAATTGCACTTCGCTTTCAATTCTTGGCACATATGTACAAAATAGTAGAGCTAGATTGCATGCAAAATAAAATTTAAACAATTTTAATAATTTCAAAGAGTAGCAAAATATTAAAGCCAATATATATATAAATACCTAATATATTTACAAGTGCTAAATTGATGTATACTATTTGAACCAATTTGGATGCACCTTTTGTTAAATTGTGTTAAATTATTGCAATCACTGTCGCCCCCCTTGTTTTTTATTATCGTTAAAACCTCGCAAGTTAATAGTTGGGAAGTTAATCTAAGCCGTTAATACACAAATATATAAGCCCTTATATACAAGCAGCTGCAGCGGTAAACTTTTTTCGTTTTCGCTTTCGCTTGGTCGCCGCTAGCAGCGTTGTTGTTGTTGTTGGGTTCTTGTCATTTGTGCGCGCTACAGGTTAACGGACCGTCAAGTGACGCGCTACCCCGCATTCGGTTGGGTATATTGTTTTTCGCCGTCGTTTGCACCCACTATTAATTTTGATACTTCGTGCCTCGATATTCAATTTAAAAATTATTTTCGTTGTTTCTCGCTTTTAAATAATTATTTAATAATAATAATTATTTAATAATTTTTTTCGAACAAATTTAATATTTTTATAAATTATTATTTTTTTGTGGTTTAATTCGAAAATTAATTTCATTTGATTTTTTAACACTTGGTCCTTTAATAATTTACTTTAATAAATTTGGTTTTGATAATTTAATTCAAAAATGAGCTAAGAAAAGCCAAAAAGTAACCTGCTTGAAGACTTGAAAGCCAAGTTACAAAATTGAGTAAAAAGTATTCGCCGATTAAGTGATCGACTCGATTCTGGCGCGATCGCGATTAAAGAAGAAGAATTAAAATGTAGATTAGATACTTTAAACGCTGCAATTAATAAGGCAAATCTATTGCAAGAAGAGATAGAAGATATAGATGATGGCGATGAATTTAGAGATGAGTTGGAGGACCTATCAATTGTTACCAAGGCAAAATTAATGTCGCTCTTGTCGGCCTTGAAGACAGCAA